CCTCCACAGGACTCCAGCAGAGACCTAGAGTCTTTGACGTGTTTTCTGTTTTAAAATTAAACAGGAAGTTATTGTTGTCTTCTCTTGTTTGTTTCTCAGTGATGTTTGTTAATATTTCGGGTTTGTTTGTGGCCCACTTCCTCAAGTTAAAACCTCCTAGTTTAAGAAGTTGGGTCAGATCTGTTACTAACTGTTGACCATGTGTTATTGAGTGAGTCCCGTGAACAAGGTCATCCATGTAAAATGCATCTTCGAGCACCTTGGATGCTTCCGGGAACCTGTCACGTTCATCAGCTGCTAATCTTTTCAAAGTCATCATGGCCAAAAACGGAGCCGATTTTGTACCATAAGTGACTGTAGTCAGCTGAAATGTTTGTATGGGTATGTCTAACGAGTCTCTCCAGACAATTCTCTGTAAATGTTGATCTTTATCGTTAACTAAAATTTGCCGGTACATTTTCTCTATATCTGATGTAAAAACATACTTATATTGTCTCCACTTCAACAATAAAGCTTGCAGGTCTTGTTGCAAGTTGGGTCCCTTGTACATCAGATCGTTGAGTGAACTACCAGAAGTTGTTTTGGATGAGGCGTTAAACACCACCCTATACTTAGTTGTTGTTGAGTCAGCACGTTCTACGCCGTGATGGGGCAAGTAACATTCGACTGACTTATTGTTATTATCCGATTTCATATGTTGTAAATCTTGATACTCTTTCATGAATGTTCTGTATGCAATGGCCAAGTTATGTTGTTTTTTAAATTTGTCTTCCAAATTACGAAATTGTGCTAGAGCTTTTGGTTTTGAGGCTCCTAGCTGTTCTTCATAGTTCGGTTTCATGGGTATGCGCACTACATATTTGCCTTGTTCGTTTCGTGTTGTTGTTTGTTTAAAATAATCAATGCAATGTAGGTCTTCAGAAGACAAATCTCCATCCTCTGTTATCTCCTCCATCTCCCAAAACTGTTGTATGTCTTCTATGTTATTAATTATGACGTTACACTGGACTGTTTGGGTACTTCCGCACAGAAGCCAACCTAGTTGAGTTTGTTGAGCCATTGGTTGTGTTACGTCATTTGTTTTTATAATTCCTCCCAATATTATGTTGGAGTAAACATCAGCGCCTAAAAGTAGGTCAACTGGGCGACTTATATAAAAGTCGGGATCAGCTAAGTTAATGTTCTCAATGTTAGACCACGTTGGTTTTGCGAATGTTTTATTGGGAAGATTTTTAATCAAACTGTTCATGATGATTGTTTCAACGTTAAATGTGTAGTTGTTGTACATTGATGAGCATGTTATATTAATTTTGCCTTTACAGTTGTTCTCACGTTGACCGACGCCAAAGACCACACCCTTACACTTCATTCGTTTCAAGCCTAATATTTGGGCTGCGTTTTCTGTTATGATGGAAATTTGAGATCCTTGGTCTATCAACGCTCTCATGTTATGATATGTTCCGTCTGATTTTAGTACCTTAATTTGTGCTGTAGCCAATAGTACTTCTGAATACTCATCTTGAGAAGGATGAGCATTGGAAGTTGAGTTTTTTGGAAATGTTGTTGTAGATTTTGTTTTAGAATTTTCTAGGGCATCGTGTATCAAAGTGTTGTGTTGACCGGAACATTTGCGGCACGTTTTCGTAGAGTTGCATTTTTTGCCATTATGTGAGAATAGGCAATTTACACAAATACCCAGTCTGTTAATGGTCATCAGTTTTGTTTCGTTCGACATTTTCAAGAATGTTGTGCAATTATAAATGCCGTGTTCATTTTTACACAAAGGACACGTGTAACTCGATACATGAAACGTTTTCGCAATATTACCGCCGTTGTTTGTGCGATTTGCGTTAAAATATGGTTTTTTATAGTTTGATGTTGTAAAATGTTGAGATCCTGATTGATTGTTAGATTTTTGAGAAGGTATTTCTTGTTTACGTCGAGATGATGTTTCTAGCACAGTGAACTTGCTCTCGAGAAAGTCCAGTAGTTCTTGTAAGTTGGGTAAAGCACGTGGATTGTTGACTGATTCTAAGTAGTCAGAGTAGGTTTCAGAATCTAGTTTTTGAGACAAAATATGAACTATAATTGGGTCCCAAGTTTCTGTTTCTACGCCAAGGTTTTTGATGGCATGAAGTGTTTCAATTGTTACGTCATGCATTTTCTTAATGTTTGTTAGTGAAGGTTGCTGCATAGTTGGTAGGTTGAATAGTATGTTGATATGAGACGTAAAAATTAGTCTTTCGTTGTTATATCGATGGTTCAAGATGTTCCAGGATGTTAAGTAATTGTCAGCCAAAAAACTGGCACGCGTCCGTCCTCCGTAAGCGCCACCGCGCGACTGATTGAGATTGTCCAAGCCGTCATGGGCGATTTTTTCCACATTTTTTAACATAGTAACTAAATAAGACGCAATATAAAAATTTCATCCGTTAAAAGCCCTCAAGTTATTTCTGAACTTTAGTTTAGTAAAAGATTCAGAATCTCAAATCGCTTATTTTAAAAATAAAACCATTATTAGAAAACGAATAGAGGTAACTTTGGGAATTTATTCTATCGAGTCAACTTCATCAAATCGTGTTTCCATCCGTTAATAGCCCTAGAAAATATCCTCAACTATGCCCAAAAAAAATCTTAGCCTTTTATTTTACTGTTTAGTACCTCAAAAATGAAAAATGAAAACCTCATTTTCGCCATTTTCTCTGTTACCCGGCCTTAAGCAAGCATCGTTTGTGAATACGGGCGTCCTTATGTTATCTTAATATTAGGTATACGCAAAAAGGATTTTGCATACACTTTTCATAAAGTTAAAATAACAAAAAGAACAGCCTGTTATCCCTTCCTTTCATAGCAAGTAAAATCATTCGATCAATCATCACGACAGTAGCTCACATACTAAGTAAATGAAAATGGTAATCGATCTGTATACCATGTCGTGTTAAAGCCCAAAACATTTCGCGATACCATCTATCAAATCCATAATTAATGTCAATAACTGTACAATTAAATTGCGTTCTTTATTGGAATACTATATTCGCTGTGTTCAGGATTGGGGCTATTAATGATGTTAGTATCATATTATTATAATTACTTATTACTATATTGCAGCAGCAATTTTTTCTGTGCAAAACCATGCTCATGGACTATCGAATGTAGGTAAGCAAGCTTTTCTAAAAACTATTGTAGGTACGCGTTTCTACTCATTCTTGTAGAAATTTTCTATCGGCCGAATACTGAAACGCTACTCAAATCTTTCACTCAGCTGACGGGCTCCTAAATTTAAGTATCCTTCAATTTTAAATGGTATTCTCAAACGCCACTCAACGAATTTGAAGCCGTGATCAGCTAAGCAGCTCTCAAATGTTTACATATTGGCAACATTTGCCAAAAAAAGTATGTTTTCATTTACGCAAATGATAACTTTACGTTTTTTATCCATTACACGCAGCATCGTTTGGTTATGTATTGTCTTTTATGGAAATATACTCAATCAACTTAACATAGAACAGTTTATTTTTAGTTTCTATTATATATAAATCTCGTTTTGTCATATAAAAAAAATAATGCTTGCATTTTTATTAAATTAAAAAAATAATTTTAAAGGTGATACTTTTTATTGTTGAAATATATTAAGTGGCGATCGTGGACCGAAACGTAACCACAATTGACATTATCATTGTTGACAGAGCATCAAATTGACAAATCAACAACTCTTGGAAATGCTGCTATGCGATGTCCCCTTATTCCTCAGAAATAGGCATGTTTATGTATTGCGATTTCATAGCAGCTATTTTGGTTGTTACTTCGTGCACTATACGATGCACAGTTGGCTGTTAGATGTGGAAGATATCACTTAGTACACGTTCATAACTTCCCGTTGCGTAGAACAGTAGGGTTATAATAAGTATTTGGTCCACTGGTTGTATGGCTAGAAAACTGGACCGAAATTGAAAAATTTTACTCGACTTGGCGGTTGCACTACCGTGCCCCCAAATATTTTAGTTTTTCCTTGATTCATACACCAAACACTACTTATATTCCAAATTTGAAGCTTCTAGGTCTGCTAGAAGTGCCTTAGAGTTTTGATGATCGGTGAGTGAGTCAGTCAGTGAGTGACAAAATTAAGTAACTTTGACCCGTTATAATTCTTAAACTACTGGTTCAAATTGAATGAAATTTTAAATATACCGTGTCTTTACAATGCCTGCATAGCTAATGAAAATTCAGCCTTCTAGTTTTATCCACAACGAAGTTACAGGCGGTCGAAAATGGCCTGAATTGCTTCGAGAAAAGGATGGTACGGCCGTGCCGCTTTTTTGCTCGACTTGGTGGGGGCACTGCCGTGCCCCCAGATTGAGTGGCGTTTAAGTGCAACTTAATTTGAGAGGTGCTTAAAAATTGAGAACTGCTCAGATATTGTTTTGAGTATGCGAAATGTAAGTTTAGGAGCTGCTTAACTATTTGAGAAGCCGTCAAATATTTAAATGGCGTTTCAGTATTCGGCCGTATGCCTGTTGTCATTGAATGATGGGTGATACTTGTTTAGATACATAGAATGAATTACTTTACATACCTATGTACACATCGTAGTATTCTCTTCCATAACTCCCTTTAAGATAGTTCGGCCTTCCCACAACAGTTCGAAACATTGAAACAGGGTGATTGTCACATGCGAACCCAGCTTTAAGCATATAGCTTCCATTATCAATAACTACCACCGGCTTTTCGAATGCCATAGTGGTATTTTTTTATAAAATTAACATAAAAAGTAACTTTCGGGGAACAAAAGGTTCTTTGGCATTGACAACATTAATGTCGTTCATGACAAATTAAGTCAAATTATTATTTTTTAATTAAATTGCCACACTTTTTAATAGTAGCAGTCACAAATGAATTAGGTATACCATTTTATTTCAAAAAGTATTTATTATCGTTAAATATTTTAGTTTTAAATCCACTTCTAGACTAACATTTTTATTTTTTTAGATGACAGCGTAATTGTTTAGTGAGGGAAAATAATATACAAACATTAATAAAACTCTGAATGGCGAATTCTCTACTCGATGCGCTGCTAATGTGTCCGATTTAGTAGCGGTAGAGCAAAGCTGACTCGGCGAAAATGAGCAAATCTGGATCTCAGACAAACACACTTGTCTCTGCCGAGAATCGATCGTCTGGCTGCCCGCCAAAGGCGTTTATCTTTAGAAGAATTTGTAATTGACAGATTCCGGCCCAGCGTCCCCATACTCTTCCTTACTCAACCAAAAACCTTTCAAGTTATCCATAGAGGCCATAATAGAGCCTCCGGTCCACACACAGTTCTGCCTCAAAGACATCGCGTCGATAGACGTCTTTACATCTGGCTGTTTCGCAACTCGTTTTCTCATTTCTATGCCCAAGCGTTCTATTAGACCCGAAAACATGCTTGTTCCACCAGAAACAACAATGTTTTCGTAGAACATAGTCCTGTAGTCTATATCACACTTATCGATACTGGAGCATATGATCTCGGGGATGCTAGGGCAGTCTAAGCCTTCGAGAGATGGCTTGAACAGAACTTCGGGGCATTTGAAGCGTTCTTCGCTCAGTAGAACGTGCTGGCCGTCGGGCAAATCAAAACGAGTCTTATTTTCTCCGGTGGACGAAAACTTTTCCAATTCAGCTGCATAGTCTAAAGCGACATAACACATTTCTGCCTGAAAATAAAAATTAAGGGTTCATTATAAACAAACTGTATAACTGTAAATACTTTAAAACCGAAGAGAAAAGTTAATTGAATATTTCACGATTCACGGAATCAAATTGTGAAATGGCAATCCCAACCTTAATGCGATCAAGTAATTTCCTTTCGATTGGAGTGGTGAATGAATACCCGGTTTCAGCCATTAATTTTTGTAAGCGATCGGTCAATTTCTGTCCAGTCAACGGTGACGTGATAGTAGCATGTTTTAATGGGAATCCTTCGAACACCGGTGTTATGTTGGAGCTGGAGTATCCACTCTCCCAAACCACTCCAGAAGTTCTCCCGCTGGCATTGAGGGCCAGGACAGGGGCCTTTGCTAGATACAACCCTTGGATTGCAAAAGCCTCGAACAAAATTTCTGCCATCCGCTCTCTGCGAAACAAAACATTTCATGTTTAATTTTTACTTGAGGATTTTTATCAACAATCAACATAGTTACAGTTAATCATTACTTATCCTTGCGTGGAACCAAGGAATGCACAGAATGCATAATATGAGCCTCTTCGGGAGGGACATGAAGCCCCTTATAAAAAATATAATGCCAGAACTTCTCCATCTCATCCCAATCTGCGATCAGGCCTTCTTTCACCGGAAAGGTTAAATTCGATATACCTTGCATTCTTATAGCTTCATCGCCACAGTAAACCAGAGGAATACCATCAATAAGGCCTGCACGACGAAACCTACAACGGTGATATTCCAATTAAACACTCGTAAAATAGTAGAATATTTAATGGACTACTCTACGAGTACTATATGTATATTTCCATCCGCTTGCATACATACTGCTAAGTCGTGGGAATAAACGCGCTAGAATTATCACAGTCAATACATTCGCGTAGCATAATCGGCGCAAATGGTTGCTTCCCGTGTGGAATTTAATATTACGTCGATTTTTATCGTGTGGGTAAAAAAAAATTCAATAGAAAATGTAATTTCAGAAGTGTATTGCTTATTGATAAGAAGACTGTTACTAAAATTATATTATAGTTTTAAATATAAAACAAGTTTGCCAGTCAAGCCCTAGCTTGTGTGGCTTGGTTGTGTGGGTCGCCCAACCTCTTGGCTGAAGAACCACAATAAAATGGTTCATACTGGAACTATTACAACAATGTAAAGCTAGATCCATTCCATTCTACCTATTTAAGGTACCCTATGTACCGACATGACACATAGAATTTTAATAACCTAAGCATGGATGTCAATTTACACATCAATAGAAAATATGTAACCATACCTTCCTACTGCAGTGGGTATGACACACCTAGGTGATGGTTCACCAGCAAACCCTGCTTTAGTGTACTGGGATCCCGTATCCAAAACTACTCCAATATTTTGGAAGGACATTTTCGTTAGAGCTACAGAAACTAAAACGTGGCCCACTAGAAAGTAATAGATACCAAATTGCTTTGCAAAACAAACTTTATATTGAATGCCAGTTGATAGCTTAATTAAGGTATAGCGTGTCTCCAGCATTATTTGTATCCCTGAATAACAACGAGTGCTTTATTTATGAAGATGAAGAATTATGTCATTATCTTTTGTTGCGAGATTACGTTTTCTTTATGCAGGTTTTTCAGATATGTAACGCTTTTCAAAAGTTGGACATTATTCGAGTAATCACCTTATAAAAGACCTTTTATTTTCCAAGGATTTTCCATTTGTTCATTTTGTATTATACACCCAATCAAATTTTCTCTCGTAATGAATACTGCTTAACGAAATATCCTTTATTCAAGACTAAGAAATAGCAATCTCATCTTAAGTACCACATAAAATCTAAAATGCAAATCTCAAAAGCGATTACACTTTGAATCATCTGGTGTTTTCAATAAACGAAGCAACAAACATTTACTCGGAACTTATTGCAGGATCTTATGAATTTGGGATGAAGTTTGTTTTCAACAATTCTAAAATGGCAGAGCGATATTTTGTATACAAGTTTGTTTTCCGCGTTCACCCCCGGGCAAACTTTCCAATACAGTTGCAGGAACTGATTATTTACGACCTAGGTTACGGAGACAGTTACGGCCGCAAGTATTACACCACTATTTGTTATAGTTTTGTTACGTTACCGTCTTAAGTGATCACTAAACATTTAAGTGCCCATATATTTAAAAAGGTACTGCCCTACTTTACTAAATGTATTTAAGTAAAAAAAATTATCATCGATATACATAATTAAAGGCGCTGTCATAAAAGACTAAGGCTGGGACAACCCAGCTTAAGATGGATGACGTAGACAGTCCAGCAGAATGTTAATTGACTGTAACGATGAAATAATGGAGGTATGTAATAGGCATGGTTCCTTACAAAAAATAATAAGAGTAATATAACTGGACGGCATGTGGCTGAAACAACAATAATAACTACGAAAATTGCGCTATAAGCAACAAGATTTAAGTCAGCGCTACACGCCTTATCTTCTATTATGTGATGTCCAATCTTTAAAAGTAATTCATTGTTTGATGTAGACTTTAAAGTTAGTAATATATAATACCTATATAATATATAAGTAACTATCAAAGCTTGATTAAGTGGCACAAGATATGTAATAACTGAGCAGCACTGAAAAGTTGGGGCAACACTTTATTCTCATAAATATTACTCTAACAAGTAAAGTTAAGCATTTGCTAAAGCAATTAACTATTCAGCTCAAGCGAATCAAGTTCTCGTGTGGAAATTGCGCTTGTCTTTTAATAATAAGTTTACCGAGCCAAAGACTGGTGCGATCCCATACCTAATAGGTACCTACTGCAAACGCGTGCTTGTGTAATGTGGTTACCCGGTGCATCCCAACCGCTCCTCGCGCTTCGCTAATCAAAGCACTGTCTAAGTGATTCTCCCCTACATTCAACTTTACAACGCGACTATAGCGAATTGCTACAATAGAATCAGTTGACTAAATATTTCAGCAATCTATTGTCAAGGAATTTCTAATGTTCCATCATTCGTGAGAGACTGTGCTAAATTGAAATGTCATGTCGGATTTACTATCTTGTGATGTATCTCAAGAGCAGTACGTACAGGGGCCCATATTCACAATATCACTTTTGATTTCATTCGACGCATTTCGATGTTAAGATCTTTTTTGCTTGAGTTAGAATCGAGATATGGCCGTCCTGTAATATTGACTGAGATCGAACTATGAGGTCAGTCTGTAAATGATCCGGTTCTTCAAGTTTTAATATTATGTTGTTTTAAAGTCGATAAGGTCAAAACTAACTAAACTGAAAATCGAAAGTAACCAGATTTTATTTTATGTTTAAAAAGATTGTAAAAAAAGCTCGTCAAAAATGACTTAGGCATATTTTTCGATTTCTCTAGAACGTCCACGCCACGTCCATCAAAGTAACATTTGAATCGTTTGCAAACAGACCGGTTGAAGAGAATTGCAAAATTGAAATCTAAATTCGCCACTCGGCTCGCTTACCGTTCGAGTTGGTGACATTACATATTTGGGGCTACATCTTTATTGAACAATAGAAATATCGCTCAACACTCCTGAACGTTGCTTTTGTTTGTCGGGTTGTTTACACTTTTGGTGTTTGCACCTCGGCCTGATTTACCTTTATACAAGTTGGTTTGAATTAAGACAATTTAATTACACAGAACCTTCCAAAATATTTAATGAGATGGCCAACGAAAACGACCGTTCCATCTATTTTTGTGGCATAATTAAAACATGGTTATGGTAGTGACCGATGTTTATGCTAAAACTAGGATGAAGTGAAAAAAAATGATTGATAACTAGCCCAATTACGCGTGGGTGATAGCTGTTTAAATTGAAGAAAACTTTTGATAGATTATAATAATGATGTTTTTTTTTTTTGGTGTCTGTATCAAAATAGTCAGCTGTCGTGCTTTGTTTATATCCCTTGTCAATTTGGGAAAATTTGCCTGCAAGTTCATAAGTATAATTTTCCGACGAAAAGAAGATTTGCGATATAAAATATTACACTACCGTGCATTCCCGCTTTTCGGAAACTCTTTGCCCTGGGGGCCAAACTGCCTTTTTTTTCGAAGGGAGTAATATAACTTTGAAACTTTATTTTCCAAAATACCGAGTGAATGCCCGCGAGTGCTTGTTGTCTGTATTAAATTAGAGGATTGCCCAAACTTCTTTAAACTCGATAATGTAATTTAACAACTTTGTAACAATGAGGCATTTTGGCCGCATGTTTATGAATTTTAACAGCATCCTAAATTACAAACAGTTGCAAAAACAGTATTAAATGAGTCATGGTAATGCAAAGAGACTTGGCAATTAGCATATTCCACTGAAATAAATGTTTGGTGCTTACTAATTCAGCCTTTAGTTATTGCTTATAGAAAACTGCAAACACTGTTAATTGTTACAAAACCAATAAAATAATTATATAGTTCTGTATTTTGGGCAATAAGACATTAGGTTCTTATTTAACTTGAATGAGAAAGATGTTGTTGGTTGACGCTGTTACGCTTAAAATTTGGAATATAACAATTAATATTACCTTCTCTACTCGTATGTTCAATGTTCATAGTTTAGTAAATAATTATAATGCGTTATCACTTCATAGTTAGGTACTACAATAATTGTTGGTTCCTTACCTGGAACCATGACTATTTATCTCTGCTCTTAAAATAAATATCCTTGGACATTTTACACTATGCCTCCAGTTCCAAACTAAGCAATGCTTGTACTATGAGTACTAGACAACGGATATAACCATAATTAAATAACTTATAGCTCCAGAGCTTTAGCAACATAACTGGAATTTTCTCAAGCCCCAAAATTGTGTCAGATTTAATAGCACCGCAAACATTCTTGAAACTTCAAGACATGTAGCCTGCGCCTGACCCGCTCGACCTTAAACTTGTAACCGTCGAGATTTAGTGTTCGAATCAGGGTATTAAATACAGACTGTGGATTTGGTAAACACTGACGAGACAGAAACTTTGGTTTGGTATTTAACGACATTCCCGGCTAAAGTTCGTCTAACTCCATGTTCGGAGGCTGGGCGAGCGAGATATGAATTGATTTTAAGTTTATTTTGTTACTGTGTCTATATTTATTACATTTCGGGATGCAAAACAAATGTTACTTTGATGAACAAACAGTTGAGAGTTCAGCGGGGTAGAGGGAGTGTTATGATAAAAATTCTATCAACTATTTTATGGTATGATTGAAAGTAATAGACTGGATGTGCTGATAACTGCTCTTGTAGAACCGTGACTTTTTAAGAAAAAAATACTCAGATACCTTAAAATACGTCACAGAAAATAATATTCAAATGATGTCACCAATGTAACCGCTAATATTTTAACGTAATTGAAACGCTCCACAAATCTCTTGTATCCATCGTGTGATAAACATTTTAAATGGTGTAATCCGAAAATCCCTAATTACTCAGTAAATAGTTGATTTAAGCCCGGCTACTGACTAGGTTCATTAATTGTAAAGGTGAGTATAGTTTAGAGCATTTTTAAGTAATGTAACGTTCTAACGAATTTAACAATACGGGTAAAAGTTGTCTAAGCATTTTCCATGTAGGTAATCTAATGTTCCTGCGAATGCTCGGCGCTAACAGCGAGTGTACATTTTGGTACGCGTAACACTTCGTTCTACCATTTATTCATTCTTTGTTGAAGTGTTCATCGCCTGAGCCTGTGCTAAGGTTCGACGAAATGTTACACTAATACGAATACACTCGTTGGTTTATACAATTAGGTTGTAACAAAACGGCGAGGTAGGTTGGTACACTAGAACAAATCATAAAGCGGCTCGTTGTTCTGTTACCAATAAATCTCTCGTAGTAAATGTACTACTAGAACATTTTAAGTAACAAATCAACGATCTGTGTAATATACGTACTCACATTAAAATGTGAAATTCGCGACGAGCGTGTCATATAATGGTAAGCTCTAGTATAGGAGTTAAAAGAGCTACATGAACTGCCGTACACATTGTAAATGTCACATTATGCAGAAGGGAAAAAATATTCCCCACGACACTACTGGTAGTGTGGTTTGGTAGTGCGGTGGGTCAGAAGGGGATAGATCGGTCGCCAGCTTAATGCGGCCGGCTGCATGCACAGTCGGCATTGCCCGACCAATATTGATACTGACAGTCGGATCTGGTTAATACCGCAGATGTGCCAGATTATCCATCAAAGTGACTCGTTTGGTAGGTTTAGTCCGTCTAATAATTCAGAAGCAGACTTGCATTGAAAATTATCTATAACCTAAAAGCTACGTGGGTTGTTTGGCTTAATAACAGAAATAAAACGTTTAATGCTTTTATATGCAAGTAGGTACTTACCGAAAAATCGTAAGTATTAAGAATTTTGTAATTTAGGCGTTACCCA